AGTCCCCTCCTCCTCAGCTGCCACCTTCGCGAAGGCTCAAGACCTACTGAGGTGCCTTTCTGGGTCAGTTGGCCAAGGCCAGATGGAGAAACAGCAGCCGTTAAAATGATGCCGTCTCAGGCTGCCCCCTGGTGGCGCCCTGCCGCATGACACCCTGCCCAGGTGAACCTGTCAGGTGTGCCCTGGTCCCAGCTGCCTGGCCTCCTCCGCGCCGCTGGGACTTCCAGCACCCTGGAGCCCATCGCAAAGCAGCTCCTGTGGACGGTCCTGAGGCAAGCATTTCAGAAACAAATCGATGCACCCCAGACCGAAAGCTCCCCTGGGGAGGGGGCCTGCTGGCATCCCAGAATCCCATTATGAGCCATTATGATCATCAGACTTGGAGCTCCTGGAAGGCTCTGCCTCCACCATTGGGCCGCGCTTAGCCGTCTCCCTGTGTCCCGGTTCCACCTAGGCCAGCGATGCCCAGGGAACATGGGGGAACGTGACGCCCACCTCTCGCTGTCAGCCCCTTGGCCCGAGCCTGGGACTGAGAGAGGCCGCTCTCACACAGCTCCCCTGCTCTGGAATGGTCTCACTCCACCTCCAGCCTCCAGCTTGGCCATGTGCCCTGCCTCGGAGGTCAGTCTCTTTGCCCCCAGACAGCTCCCATTTGTCCCTCAGGGTGGGCTCTGTCACTTCCCTGGATTGTATCCTCCACGCCTGAGGTCTGACCTGGTTCGTCCTCCTCACCCTTTCCCTCTGCAGGGGCTGAAATTCCAGATGTTGGGGTGAGCCACAGCTGGCAGGAACCCGCCAGTGTCAGCCATGCCGCGGTCGCAGCAGCAGAGGGCGCACGAGAGGCGCTCTGGAACGTAGGCTGGATGAATGAGCTCGTGAAACCGCCTGGCTGGAGCCGCTTCCCGTTGGGGGGATTTGGGGCAGCTCTCACCTTCTCGTGTTCATTTCGTACACGCGTCTTTTCTGCATGGTGTGGGCCCGTGAGGATTCCAATTCAGATCTGCCGGGCTTCCAAAGCCTCAGCCTGCATCTGCTGCCAGCCTGAGAGGCGTCCCCATTTCCTTGTTGGCACACGCCTGGGACGCAGCACTGGCCGCCCTGCCCTGAGTGACGGACACACAGCCTGAGCCCCACAGCATCCCTGCCCCCACGCCCACCCCACCCCCAGGACTGCCGAGCAGGGGCTGGTTCTGAGTCATCGCTGAAGTGGCTCCGTTGATTAATTGTTCTCAGTCCAGCCATGCTCTGATGCCCACAGCAGGGCAGGCACTCTGCGCTGGTGAGTGGCCACCACTATACAGCAACAAAGGAGAGTGGAGTGCTTGGTCGCCCAAAGTCATGGCAGGCAACAGAGATGTGGGGGTGAAGGACACTCCTTCTTCTGGTCCCTGTCCATTTTCCACCCCTGCCCCTACCAGGACAGATGCACAGGGCACTGGGCCACTGGGGGCAGGCAGGGGCAGGCCACAGGGCTGTGGGGTGAGCTGGGAAGGGGCCTGTCTAGGTTGGGAGAGGGGGGCAGGCCACGTCTGGAGCTGTCTGCACAGAGGCCGCTGTGGCTGCTTTCCAAGGTCTTTGAAGGTGAACGTGGACGAGCCAGGAAGAGCTGCCCTCCCCCGCCTGGGCCAACCTTAGGATGGTGCCAGGGGCGGGCTGCCAGAGGGGAGGGGGTCTGTTATGGATCTGCTGTGCGAACCACTTGCTGGGTAGCAGGGCAGGGACTTGGCCACCGAGCTGAGTCGACGGGGAGCTGACCAATTCCAGTCCCATGACCTGGATTGGCCAGCACCTGTTCCCCCCAACTGTACTCGGCCAGCCGTGCCCTTGAGCTGGCCAGCAGGCCCCTGAGGCTGATGTGTGGGGATGAGGTCCCCTGTGAGCAGCCCTGACCTCTCCACAGGGGTCTCCCGCTGTCCTCTCTGCCCCAGAGGTAGCGGGCTGCCAGCTGGAGCATCAGCCACTTGGAGCTGTGACCTAGCAGGTGCATCTGCGTCACAGTGAGTCAGAGCTCTCCCCTCCAAGCCTGATTCAGTGACTCAAGTGCCTGGAGGAGGCAAAGGACATCTCTGCCTTCTATTTCCTCAACCACTCAGGACCCAGAACTTGACGCTGAGCGAGGTCTGGGGGCATGCATGGTGGTAAAATGCTGTCCCTCCACAGCCACTCTCCCTCCTGAGGTCAAAGCTGGAGGCTCTGAGCCCATGACTGAACACAGTACCAGCTCAAGGCTAGCCCCCAAACCCCTGCCCTGTGCACAAGGGGACACAGTAGGGGCTTCATGCTAAGCCGTCAGAGGCTCCTCCCACTTTTCCTGGGTGTGCGGCAGCTGTTGGGGGGATGGGGGAGGTGGACAAGCAGCACCTGGATTGCTGCCACTGTTACAGCTGTCTCTGTGACGTGGGAGGACTGGTCCTAGGGTCCCCTGAGGGTGCTGGGGTCCTCCATACAAGGCTGTGGGATTTGCATATCCTTCTGCACCTTTAATCCTCTTTAGATGATTTTGGCACTGAACGCAGGATGCACGCTATGGGAACAGGTGCACAGTGCAGTCGGGTCTGGCCCTGCCAAATGAAACATCTATAGCAGGATACCCCCACAACCCCGTCCCCATCCCAGATTTATTCATTTGCATGGCAGTTACAGAGAGTGTGCGAGAAAGCAAGAAACACACAGAGAGAGCATCTATCCACGGCTTCACTTCCCAGATGACCACAGTGGCCTGGGGCTGGGCCAGACTGAAGCCAGGAGCCAGCAGCTTCTTTCAGGTCTCCCCACATATGTGCACTTGGGCCATGTTCCACTGCTTTTCCCAGGCCATAGGCAGGAAGCTGGATTAGAAGTGGAGCAGCTGGGACATGAACTAGCACCCACATGGGATGCCGGCTTCATAAGAGGTGACTTCAAGCTGCTACACCACAATGCCAGCCCCATCACAGGGTTTCCATTCTCTGTGTTTTTCCAGGCCATAAGCAGGGAGCTGAATGGGAAGTAGAGCAGCTGGGACATGAACCAGTCGGTGCCCACATGGGATCTCCATGCATGCAAGGCAAGGATTTAGCCACCGAACCATCGCACCGGTCCAGCAGGATGCTTTGTAAGCTGATAATTTTGTGTGGCAAATGATGTTATAAATATCCAATGTCAAACAAAGCCTTCCTCTTCCATCTAGGAAGTCACAATGAGAAAAAATTAAACCTTGTCTAAGTTCCATACAGCTGCACATTTTCTCTGTTGTAAATGTTTTCTGTCCACAGCTGGTTGAATGTGGATGTGGAATCATGTTTATAGAGGGCTGCCCAAACACCTGCTGTGCACCAGTCTTTGGCACATACCATTTCATTAGGCTTCACAGAGATGCCAAGCAGTTTGCACCCAATTAACAGATGGAAAAACCAAGGTTCAGGAAGGTGAAGCAGCTTGGCCAGAGTCACGTGGCAGGCACAAGGTCACCATGCACTTGAACTCGTTGGGCAGAGAACACCCACCCTAGAGAGAGTGGTCAACATGCACCCTCCCTATTCCTCACCTGACTGCCCACCACCCAGGCCACCCAGGCCCCAGTGCTGCCCTGAGAGAGGCAACCAGCCTCACCCCTTGCCCGCCTCAAATCTGACTTATTCTTCAAAACCTGCACAGCCATCTCTGGTGAAGCCGTCTTCACCTGGCAAACCGGGCATTCTGGTCCCCGGCCCGCCTGGGGAACAGGTCTGTACAAGGACAGGGTGAGATGGGGTGTGCCAAAGTGAGTGCCCCAGGCATCAAGTGCTGCACCCGTGGGGAGGTTGCCTGAGAGACCCCCCCAGCTGCTCTCCCCAGGAGCCAAAGTGAGTGAGGCTCAGTACCAGCTGGCATGAGTGTGTGCCTGCGTCTGAGTGGGGGGGACACACACATGGGTATGCTTGTGAGTACTTGGAGCTGGCCACTGCTGCTCTTTTACGGAGGCCAGCCCAGGGGTCCAAGAAGGACCCTGCCCCAGTTTATTCTATCCAGGATAAACTTTGAGCGGCAGCCTTGCCACCTTCTCCCTCCCCCACCAGTATTGTCCAAGACCCATGTCTAGCAGCGAGTTCAAGGCCACCAGAACACTGTGCCCACCCTGGGCCAGCGTTTGCCAAGTCAGCAGCTGATACTCACCAGTCCTTGAGCCTCACTGGTGACTTCCGGGGCTCAGTCGTGGCGCTGTGGGTTTGATGGGTGCTTGTGTTACCAGCAGAGCGCCGCTTCAATTCACAGCTGTTCTATTTCTGACCCAGCTTCCTGCTAACGTGCCTGGAAAGGCGGCAGAGGATGGCTCAAGGACTGGAGTCGCTGCCACCGGCTTGGGAGACCCCGAGGGAGTTCCAGGTTTCTGGTTTTTGTCTGGTGTAGTTCCAGTTATTTGGGACATTTGAGGATTGGACCAGCTCATGGAAGATCACTGTTTCTCTGTCTTTCAAATCAGCCTATAAATGCAGATGTCTGACGTCCGGAAGCCTTAGTTTTTCCCTCTGCAAAATGGACACAATGGAAGTTACTGTGCCCCATTTCACCCTGCCGGGTGCCGCATCATGACCCTGGATGCGGTGTGTCCTCGATGGTTGCTCGTGTTGTGACCCGAGTGGCAGGAGTCTCCCTGTTCCCACTGCCCCTTCCCTGACCCCTAGCTTCGGCCACCAAGCAGACCCTGCCCGCGGGAGGCCGGATCCGCCGAACAGGTGCATGGGGCGGGGCGTGGGCGGGGCGCTCTCGGGCCGCACCCCCAGCCCCGCGCTCCGCGCCCGGCGGTGCCGCCCGCCTCTGGCAGCTGCGGGCGCGGCACGGGCGGCGGCAGCTGCGGCGGCGCGAGGCCAGCGGGGCGCGGCGGCAGCGGAGACCGAGGCGAGCGGAGCCTGAAGCCCTGTCCCCGCGCGCCCGCTCGCCCGCGACGCGCCTGCCGTGCGTGCAGCCCCGGCCCCCGGAGACATGAGCGCCCCGCGGCCCGACGCACCCGAGGCGCAGCGGCCCGGCCCCGCGGCCCCGTGATGGGCTCCTGCGTGTCGCGAGGTGAGGGGACCACTAGGACGCATCTGGGGCTGGGGGCGGAGATCCGCACTGCCGGAGCAAGCCACGCATCTCTGGGGACCACGGTGCCCCGAGGGGACGGGGTGGGATGACGGTGAAGGAGACAGCGCAGAGAGAACGTGCGGCGGCCACCGCGTCGTGGCCGCGCCTGGCACCCCAGCGGCCACGCAGCCCCGGCCGTGTGCCTGGGAGGGAGGGAGCTTCGTGTTCTAGCCAGTTTCTCTGGAGGGGCTGGGGAGACACCCTCCGCCCCAGCCCCCCAAGACACGGGCCTCTATCACCTGCCCCCCAAGCTCCTCTTCGCCCCTCAACCCTCTTTCCCGCGGCAGGAAGGACTGTGGTGGTGTTATGAAGAAGGCCCCCTCCCCCACCGTCAGCCCCACCCCCTCCAAGATCAGGGGACCGGAAGGGACAGAGGACATTGACATTCCTTGGAACCCTGGGCCTGTCTCCGTGTCTGACCTGGCCCCTCCTCCTCCCCAGGCCCGCACTTGGCGGAGCTGGGAGCAATCTGCCCTTGCCCGCCCTCCTCCTGTCGGTCTGCGGGTGGGGGTGGGGCAGAGGGCAGGGTTCCACCTGCTGCCCAGGAGGATGCTGAGCAGCTTCTCAGGAGAGGGGGTGGGCCCGGGACCCCCGCCCCTGGGGACTCCCAGTGAAGCAGGGGCCAGGAGTGGGAGAGCGCAGGACTTTGGGCTTGAATCTGGCTTTGCACGCTGAGCCCGTCTGCAGAGTGGGGGAAGGGAGCTGCTCTCCCACCGGTCACTCCCAAGGTCTTGTTCAGGTGCGCAGGGCTATGCTGGCCTTGGGGAAGGGCCTGGGCGGGGGGCGGGGGGAGTGATGTTGAGGAGAGAGCCTAACACCCCTGCAGTCCTGGGGCCTTCCTGGGGGTGTTGGGGCTGAGTTGGGAAGGTGTGTCAGGGGGCGGGGTCAAGGTGGGGAGGGAAAGCACCAGGATCCGGTCTGGGAGGCTCCTTTGCATGTCCAGCCGCTTGGCTGTGGGTGACATGACACCCACGTGTGCCGGCTCTGGCTCCTGAGAAGTGGGAAGAGCAAAGAGTTGAAGGGCCCCTGTGTTGTGATAGGTTCTCCCAGACCCCAGACTCTGCGCAGTCTCAGGGCGATGGTGGGGGGGACGGAGCAGGTGGGAGGTGGGGACAGTGGTCAAGAGTTTTCTCAGTGATGCCCCTTCTCCAAGCCTCGGCCATCATGCCGTATGGGGACCCAGCCCCAGGTGCGCTGGCCTGAGAGCTGAGAGCAGGCACAGGACAGAGGCAAAGAAGGAAAGACACTTGCTAAGGTCACATGGGAAGGCTAGGGCCCCAGGTCCCTGGTGCTCCCTCTGTGGCATCCTCTGTCAGGGCCATCTGCAGCCACCCTGGCACGGCCGTGTTGTCTGCACCCAGATTTCCACAGTCTGGGCACTTCTGGTCATGCATTCCTATCCTGCCTTGCTCCTGAGTGTCCAAGTGTCTGCCGGTTGCAGGGGCACGAGGTCTGGGCGCTTCGGAGGGCAGAGCAGGGGCGCTGTCCACACAGCGAAAGCTCCTTGTCCCTCTGCTTGCCACGGGTCCTATGGGAAAGCTCACAGCTCGCCAGGTATCAGTTTGAAAGCTGTAGAGTCAACAGCTAAGTGAGGCTATTTGCCACCTTGGTCCTCATTTGTACATGAAGCAGGGGGCAGTAGAGTGACCTGTCCTGGGGGTCACACAGCTGGGACATAGCAAAGCTGGACATGAAGTCTGTCACACAGACATCAGAGCCTGGATCTTTCATCTATACCCCACAACCCTGCAGCTGTGCTTCTCCCTGCCCTGGAGCTGCTGGCTCCCATGGGCCCTCAAAACCCCCTACCTGGTCCCTGCACCTGCGCCAAGTGTTTCCTTGGACCAGGTGTGCTGTCTGAAGGCCAAATCAGGGCTGTGAGCCCCCTGATGTGCTGAGAGCTCCATGCTTGGGCCTAGCTGAGGCTGTCTGGCCACGCCCTGGGTCCAGGCTACAGCTGGGAGAGTCCCACCCTTCACCACTTCCTCAATCCTGTGCTTGTATCTCAAGGTTCTCACCTTTAAAATGGGAAGCCTAACAATATCAGTGACATGGTCTGGTTCCTGCACAGCACCCAGACCAGTACCAGCTGTGTAGCAAGCACCCAGAGGGCTTTGTTGGTGCCCACACTGTGGCCCTCTGTCTTGACCCCCTCCATGCAGATGGCTAGCCCAGATCTTCTTGGCTGGACAAGGGGATGCTACAGAGGCCCCAGGGCCCATCCTGCCTCCTGTGAAAAGGCACTTGAGGTCCCGGAGACATTGGGGAAGGGATTGGGATCAGATGAAGGCGATGCCCACTGTCTCTGGGAGCTGTTTTGTGTTCACCGTCTATTTTTAAGTCACCGTTTGTTGGGTGCTTTGGCTGAGCCGGGTTGAGCCTTGGCTCTCCTGACCTAGATAGCTCTCACTCAGCCTGCACAGCGGAAGTGGGGCTCAGAGCCAGGGGTCCGGGTGACCCCAGAGCTACCGGGACCCGTCAGATGGGTCCTGCCTGCCCGGGGCTGGCCTTCTCCACCAGCGTCCATCTGTAGGGAGCAGAGAGGAACTGCCCCTGCCACCAGCCCTCTCCATCAGACCAGCCCTGAAGTCACTGTGCACTGAGCACTGGGAACTGTGAGAGCAAGGACTGGGACCCAAGCATTTGCTTCTGGAAGGCCAGAGTGCAGACTCAGACTGGGCATCCTGCGACAAGGGGGGAAGGGCAGGCGAGATGTTGGCTTTTAGGGTAGGCCTAGGCTGCGGAGGGAGACATGGTTTCGCCCTTGGAGGGACACAGTTAGCAAGAACAGACACACGCTTGGCAAACTGCCCAAAGTCCCTCTCCAGCAACTGGCACAAGATGTCAGGGCAGAGTTTTGGGGTTTCAGATTGGCTGAGAGCTGTACCTGTCCCCATTGTTAATGGTCTTACACCCGTGATTGAACCTCTCCGAGCCTCAGTCTTCCCATTGGCAGAGTGGGCATACTATTTCCTACCTAGCTGGGTCGGGAGAACAGTTCAACAGACGGTGGACACTATCTGACACTGCGTAGATGGCCACTGGTGAAAGCGTCACGTAATACAGCATGACCTATCTGGGCAGGCTGCTTGGAGGAGGTGAGGACAAAGTGGGGCGTTCAAAGAGGCTGAGCCACAGTGTGGCAGACAAAATGGGAAGGAGCTGAGTGCGAGAAGCCTTAGAGAGGTACCTGTTCTCTCCATCCTTGGAGGGGATAGAGAGACTGTCCATGGCAGCTCAAAGCTGTACCAATCCTGGGCTATGCCCAGATGACCTGAAAACCAGCATCCTGGGAGCAATGGGCACAGCCCCTGCCAACTCCATGGCCCTTTCCTGTGGCAGGGACTGGGCAGAGGCCCAGACTGCCCCTTAATGTCTCCTTCTGTGGTGCCTCCGAGCTGAACACCAGCCGAGGGACAGAAGCAGAAGAGTGGTTGATGGAAAGGGGTGGGGCACGGCCGTGGCAGGTGCCTCTTCCTCCCGCCAGCCTTGCTGAGTGCACACTCACTGTCCCATCTTCCAAATGAAAGGCTGAGGCTCCCAGGGGTGAAGTTGCACACCTGTGGCTCAGCAGCATTTGGTCACAGGTGCCCGAGATGCCAACAGCAGAAGCAGCTGGTCTGGGAAAAGCAGCTCAGTGGGGGTTGCCAGGTCATTGCTTCCTGACTGTGTGATTTCAAGATGACATGTGACTTCTCTGGGTTGCTGAGGAAGAGCAGGGTTAAACATGAGGCTTCCCTGCCATCCTTGGGACCTGGAGCCCTGGGAGAGACCTCCTTGGGGAGGGGCAGGTAGGAGCAGATGTCACCATGGTGACCAATGGGCTGGTACTTGGAACCTTAAAGAACAGCAAAGGGAGCTGGGTGAGTCAAGAAGACCTCAGGGGAGCTTTGCAGCAACTGGGGATTGGGTTAGATGACAGGAGAGACTGTCTGGGTGGCTTGGGCACTATAGTGGGGCTGGTATGGGCAGGCAGACTTCATCCTTGATGAGCAGAGGCTTGGGTGGAGGGGGGTCTGGATGACACTCCTCTCTTTGGAAGATGTAAATAGCACCCCCATGGAAATAGCCATGTAAGACCCACGTGGCAGCCACAGTGAGGCTGGTCTGACCAGGGGCTGCTGATCTTAAGGTGGAGGGAGGGTTCGTGGGCTGGGAAAGCAAAGGGGCGTCCTTCCCAGCTCCTTTGGGCAGGAGCTGAGGGTCTCCCGGGACTGCCTCATCCCCAGAACTGTTTTTCTAGTTGGCTGTGGTGACGTGGCTGGGTCCCCCTGGGCTAGGAGCAGCCTCACTTCATTACCTGACATCTCCGCGGCAACCTGCCTGTGACATCAGGGAGTCAACGTCCTCAAGGGGAGCCGGTAGCTTGGGCCTAGGTGCTTGCACCCCAACTAAGGTGAGAGGCAGGCTCGGGGGACGTGGAGCCAGGAGTTCCCATTCCCACTGCCACCTCACTGGCTGACCTTGTTTGAGTCATGACTCCCCTGAGTCTGCTCTGTGGTCCCCTCCCCCTCACTCCCTGGCATGCAGCTGGGGACTTGGACAACAGCTTCAAGGACCACCTGGGACCACAGGACCATGCCAGCCCTTCTCAGCCTGCCCCAGGGAGCCTGCAGCTGGCACCTTGACAAGGCCCAGCTTGTGCTTGGCATGCAGAACCTCCAGAGTGTTCGAAGTGACGACTTCTAGATGTGTTTGTGCTCACAAGAGTATACAGGCTTTGCCTCGTGACCCAGGATGCGCACACAGAAGATTCATGCCCACATGATTGCCGTGTCATCCAGACAGAAGCTTCAGGAAGCAGTCTTTGGGCTGGCAGCAACCTCGCCTTGGGAAGTCTGCACTCCACTCTGTTTCATTTCTTAGATGGTGACTCCACAGGACCCACCAAGCGAGGCTTCCCTGCCATTCAGCTTTGCCATTTGGAGACTCTGAATCCC